GCGTACTTCAGATGAGCCAGATGAAGACACCTGTTATCTTATCCCTGGACAAGAACAATCTATCGCAGAATGCAACTTCAACCAAACAAGTAAAACATTTGTGATTATACATGGATGGACGGTAAGGGAATATTTTTTTGGACTTTAAAAATTGTAAAATCCATTGAGGGATAGTTCACACCACAATGCTGTGTCAGAAAGGTGCATTCTGTGTGTGTTTTCTGCACTATTGCCTTTATGGTCTGCTGCGGGTGCCTGTGTAATGTTAATGACACCCCCAAACACAGATTGCAAATGCAGTGTGTGACAGACCCCCTGGCACCCCGCCTAGGTGATTCTGTCAGAGAACTGCTTCTTCACCGCTGGGGCACAGGACCAAGGTATTATAGCTGGGCATCGCACTCAAGACTAGTTGACACTAGCTTAGGTGCAAAACTGGATCTCTTTATTGAACAGAAATACAGATTTTTCTACACTTCAGAAATAGGGGCAGTCCCCACATGAACAATAAAACAAATATTACAAATTGGGATAAAAATCTCACACTGATTAGGTCAGAGCTTGATCACATTATCCTAAACAGTGCAAACAGTAAACAGTATAGCCAACAGCTAACAGTGATCTAATTAACAGTAAGCTAATCAACAGCCAAGCACCCAGGCAAGCCAGGGCCCCAATCTGCCAGACAACTTGGCATCTCCAACCCTGAATACACAAAGTGCAATACACATGCTATCTTTCAGGTGTTTGTTTTCACTTGTATAATCTGTCCATCATAAAACAAAACGCATACCATATTCCAACAGTCTGTAAAAGTAGAATTCATCTATCTTCATAGATTTCTTGAGGGAGATTGTTAATAAATATTTCTGTCCTGAAGCAGAGGAGGTTCTCCAACCCAGTATGCAGGAGGGCCCCATATTTCCTCTGACTATTAACCTATACAAGATTAATATTAAACCTTTCTATCCACTCCAGAAGGGAAGCTGTATTGTCTTTAGTGAGAGAATTAATCCAAGGCTCACCAGCGTTCATCATGTTGTTGTCCATCATTAGAGAATGATGTGCTCAGTTGGTAGAAGGCTAGCCCCTAGTCCCCTCCAAAAGCCTCTGTCCATATTGGGTCTGTCACACAGTGCATTTGCATGCACCAGATCACATGGCACTGCAGTACTATACGAATTGGTGTGGCATGTTTTTCAAAAAGCAGTGCAAAGATTCCAACATATTATAAATGCACATATTATATACAACACATGTTCCTGTAAAAATGGCTGTGTGTGTAGATGGGTGCTGCAGTGATTATTGTCTGGAACCAAAGACCATTAGAGTGAAAGAATGTCATCAGTACAGCATGGATCTCCAAGATGGCTCCAAAACTTTAATCAGTGATCATATCATTACAGCATAAGTAACCTTTTGGAGCCTCACAGGACCCCGCTGCAAGCCTGATGAAGGGGTCCTGCGAGGCTCCAAAATATTGCTTATGCTGTAACAATGTGATCACTTAATAAATCTTTGGACCCATCTTGGAGAACCATGGTGTGCTGGTGACATTCTTTCACTCTTTCAAAAGCAATGCACGCAAATGAATGGGCTGCCATATTGCACTGCAGAGAAATACACATGAATGCACAACCAACATTTCTGTGTGATTCTGGTGTGAACCGGCCCTTGCTCTTTGTACATTGTGCATGTAGGTGTTGTACCAAACAGTCAGGCTGATTTACTAAAATAGCTGAGAATCTTCACCCAAAAAATTTGTGAATATTCACTTTAATTATCCAATAATGTGAAAAACAACTTCTTGTTTACCTTAAATGCGCAATGCAGATGCATTTCAAGAGATTGTATACTTGAAGCGAATATTCATACCATTTTTTAGTGAAGATTCTAAACTCCTTTAGTAAATCAGCCCAAGCATATCTTAGTCAGAATCAGGTGATTAAGTAATCCGATTATTATAACCAATGAGAGGACCAGGACATTCTTATAATTTCATTTAACTTTCTTATTACTTCCCCTTTACTTTTAAGGGCTAATTCATGTTGTAACACAACAGTTAGTCTGCGGTGAGGTCCATCAGAATTATTGCAGAACCAATGTGCCTGTTCACTTTTTTTAAAAACAAACTTTAATGAAATTTTAGAGTGGGATTTCATTACATTCAGTTGGCTGCCACGTGGTGCAAGGTGGTGGATTGCCTCACAGTCCGTTGCACTGAAAAAGTGTGGCATGGGTAATTTTTTTCTCCTTACACCAATGTGACACAGTAGCGTGGATTGGGCACAAGGAGACAAGGCAATTTGCCTTGATTTACAGTGAGTGTGTGCTGGAATAGGTGTTCAACACAGTTGGGAATAGACCCTAAACTACTGTCATTTTTATCATCCAACTAAAAAGCTGAAAGAAAGTTCCAAGCTGTGCAATGGAATAACGTCCTTACAGGATGTCTTCAAATTACAAGCTGACCTCAATGCACTGTTTAATTGGGCAACTATGTGGCAAATGAGGTTTAATGTTGATAAATGTAAGGTTATGCACTTGGGGGCTAAGAATATGCATGCATCATACATACTAGGGGGGTACAACTGGGGGAATCAATGGTGAAGGATCTGGGAGTTCTTGTAGATCACAAGCTTAATAATGACTTGCAATGCCAAGCTGCAGTTTCTAACACGAGCAAAATCCTCTCTTGTACTAAAAGAGGTATAGACTCCACAGAGAGAGATATCATTTTACCCATCAAATCATTAGTGAGACCTCATCTGGAATATGCAGTTCAGTTTTTGGCACCAATTCACAAAAAGAACATTGGGGAACTGGATAAAGTACAGAGAAGGGCAACCAAACTGATAAGAGGCATGGAGGAGATCAGCTATGAGGAAAGATTAGGGCTACAATGAAAGCTGATTTTTAGTCAGGAATTATTGCATATGTGCTTTAAAGTCCATCCGTAGCCAAAGTTTGCTCTTACTGTGAGTCTTGGATAGTGTAGAAAAGCCTAAAAAGTAAAACAGAAACACAACTAATACTAATACTACTAATGACAAGGTGTTATCGCTTACTGCAAATTACTGCTAAATTGGCTGAAATTCAAGTCATGGATGGCACTGCAAGCACCACAATTTTAAATTCAACTGAACCAGGTGGAAAATTATTAGCCAAGCAATGACTACCTACTATCAGATGTAGTCACTGTTTGACAGCGTCTCTGCACTCAATACAATACTGTTGAGATTCCACCACCCACTCCATTAGCTTTGATGGTATACTCAATTGATTTTCTTTCATTCGGACCTCCAGGTGAACAAAAGAAAATTGACCGTAAATGTCTTTACTTTTTTTTAAGAACAGTTCTTAAGACAACAAAGGTTAATAAAAGTAACAGCTACACTTTGTGTTGGCTCTAGAGATATGACCATAATGCACAGTCTTGGCTGGTATATCAATATGAGAACACAGCTGTGAAATTTATGAGCTCTGTCACTCTGTAAAGTAACATCCTTTGAAAAAGTACTTTTTGGTCCAGTTACATAACATATGAACACTACCCCAGATAATTCTAAATTAAACATTTAGTTTGCTGTCCCAGTGTTTGCATTTCTTGAAAGGCTAGATAGATTAAAGTAAATGAACCAGGGATATCTACATGTACTAAAGCTTTCAGGCTTACTATTCAAAACAAACAATGATTATCTGTTGGATTTTTTTCTTTTTAAGAATATTAAACATGTTGGATGTTTTTACATTTAACACACTGTCCTACACACAGAAACTCCTAATTTGCTGATACTTGGACAAATTGCCCATTACTGAAAGCATTTATTGGCCCTCTCACCATTAAGTAAAAAACCTGTCATATATGCTACAGCTAGAGAGAAAATAGTACTCAGACCCTTGCAGGGACCATTCTTAATTAACCTTAGATGGTTGCAACTGCATCTAGAAGACTTGTATCAACTATTCAACAAACCTAAATTTAATATAGTTATTGTCATATCACTAAATAATAGTCATCTGTGTAAAATTGAAAAATGAATACACGTGCAAGCAATTACCTGAATGCACATTGCAGTGTCCTCTGGAACAGTTACAATGTGAACTAGGCTGTTCCAGGGATCTTGATTGTGGACCATTAGCTATCCCACAACCTTATACTTATCAGCAGAGGAAGTCAAGGGCACTAAAACAAGGCAATAAAACACTCATACTAATATAGTTGCTAAGTGGATCAATAAATAGATATGCAATAAACTTCCAAAAATAATATTTTGTAGTGTAGTCATTGCTCTATGCAACAGGAATCACAGTAAAGCAAATTAGTCCTTATCGTGAGTACATTATCACTTTATCACGAATGCATTAGTTGATTTACTATTTAGATAAATTTCACCTTGCAATTGGAATGCTCATTTAACTTATTAAATACTTATGCTCTCAAAGTGGATTCACTCAGACCAACTGCTTCTTGTTACCAGCCACTAGTTCCCAGGCCAGATATGATCCATCAGCTTTCTAATGATAACTAAATGCACAAAGCAGCCAAACAATGCTGATTCTTTTTATTTCTTTCAATTCAAGAAAGCTTCATTATTCATAGAGGATAACATGCAAAGGAGAAGAACTGGAGTTCCATGAATCATAAAGCTTTATGAATTGAAAGAAAACAAAGTTCAACAGTGTGCAACTACTTTATGCCTCCAGTTAGCTTAATAAATAAGGGGACGCTGTGTTCACGTCAAGAATCCAATCATGTCTAAGCATGTTTTTTTAATTTTGTATAAGCATGCTTTTTTCCTTTTTTTTAATTTTGTTTGCTCATCATTGGGTATTTAAAAATCCTCAATAATTTGTCAAAAAGCAACTAAAAAGCCCTGTACACCTGTTATTAATGTAATGTTTTTTGCTTGGTTTATTCTTTCCCAATATTTTAAGCTATGTTTTTTTTTCCTTTCAGGTAACTGGAATGTATGAGAGTTGGGTCCCTAAGTTAGTAGATGCCCTATATAAAAAGAGAGCCAGACTCAAATGTGATCGTGGTGGATTGGCTATCTCGAGCACAACAGCATTACCCAATTTCAGCTGGGTACACACAACTGGTGGGACAGGATATCGCAAGTTTTATTGACTGGATGGAAGTGAGTACAGATCAGCAGAGCTTAAAGAAACCTAAGGGGTGTAGAGAGAAAGTGTTACCTCCATTTGTGCCATTATATTGTTATGTCTCATATTTTTTAAAAAATTAAGTTGTTTAGTCTGACACATGTTAGAAACTGCACCTGTACTCTTTAATGATGTCTTTTGGAAAAGACAGACACAGGAAGAGTGCAAAATATCAATTTGCAATTCTTCAGAGCAGTGCAAATATTCTTGCTTCAAAGAATGATGCACCATTGGATTTTCACTAAACAAATCTGGCCATTGGAGGGTTAGAGAAATGGACTACATATAGTTACTATATCAACTTTTGCTAAGTATTTAACTTAGTAGTCAGCAAATATTTTACATACACACATGTTCTAAAGGTTAAATGTGTCTAAATCCAAGAATAAATATATTTGAGTTCACCAGTCCTTAGATGCGGTGGTTGAATTATTTTTTAATTATATATATAATATTTCTTATATATAATTTATATAATTATATTTATGAATAATATGTCCTTGATTTTCACCTCTTGATCCTGCTAGTAGCATACTTCCAGAGTTGTCACTGTAGGACAGAAAGGGGTGTATTTAAAAATAAGGCTCACTTCTGCATAGAAACCAATCAGCTTCCAGGTTTCCAGGCTTCGCCAAAGCTTAATTGAACAATCTGAGGTTAGAAGCTGATTGGTTTCTATGCAGAAATTAGCCCGATTTTGCACTCTCCAGCTTTAGTAAATAAAAACCCCTGGTGTTTTAAGACTACAACCCCCCCCCCCCCATTCCTCCTCATCTCTATAACACTGGGGGAGAGGGGGGTCTCTAGTCCTAACACACTTCCTGAAAACATTGTATGTAATTAAACTGCACTTAACAAACAGATAAAACAAAACACTTCAATGGTAGATTTAACAGACCAAAGAGAGGAAACAAAAAGTTAATTATTGTGTCTTACCTACATTTTAATTCAGACTAATGCTTTGGGTATCCTGGCCTTTGTGTGTTTTTAATACTCAGATACATAAGAGGATTCCATTATTCTAAGTTATTTTATACTGAAGATGACTTTTTAAATGTTACTTTATTTTGTCACATCATTTGTAGAAATCAACTAAACTTCAGTGTCCTTTACAGGAAAAGTTCAACTATCCTGTGGATAACATTCACATTTTGGGATACAGTCTTGGTGCTCATGCAGCAGGTGTGGCTGGGAGTCTCACCAACAATAAAGTTAACAGAATAACAGGTGAGATAAACTGAAAAGGTTGTGTGACACAAACTTAAAGGGTCCATCCACCCAGAAGAGATAAATTAGTTATTGATGGAACACGTATGTCTTGGATTCTCCTACAATGATGCCCCCCCCCTGCCATAATTCTCAACTGTGTTCTTATCCTCATGGGAGTTCTGATTGTTTCCACTTAAACATGTGTGTTTCAGCTACTATCATTCTATTCTACACAGCATAGTATAATTAGAAAACTCACAGGGACAATAGGAATCCTTCACAATGGCCACATCATGTGTGCAGATGCAGGAAACGTGCAGATACTTCTCCAATGAAGTCACTGAAAAATAGGAAAAGTTCCCAGGTAGTTCCCAAACTAAACTAACATTGAAATAACAGTTTTTGGTTGACTGATCCTTTAAAAATCTTTACATGCAATGAAAGCTGATTGTTCAGGCAATTAAAGCTTTCCATTATTTGAATGGACTCATCCATACAAAACACACTATTACTGCTACATTAATCTGTCTTGCAGAGATAAACAGACAAAACAGGCAAAACTATGAAATTCAAAAGTCCTGACTGCCAAGTTTCCTGAATCACTTCATTTTCTGCAACTAAACTGTTGATTTGCATACTTTCATTAACTTTTTCACTTAAAAGAGGGGTATATTTAAAAAAGGAGCGTCAGTCAGTTGTGCCAAAATTAAATGTCAGCAGCTACAAACACTGTACCTGCTGACTTTTAATAAACAGACACTTACCTGTCCAAGGATCCTAAGGATCTTAACTGTGCAGCATCACATCTGGCTGCCTACTACATATGAGTGAACTGTTCTGCACTTTGTGAATGATCCCATGGCCTCCTGGGCCTTGGGACATGTCCCAGAAGGTTGCGGGCAGGAAGGGAGGGAGGAGAACTTCTGCTGGGATCACCTAGGCAATCTGAATGGAAGTGGTTGTGTATACCTGTCACAATTAGGTACCAGCTCCCCCACCAAAAAAAAAAAAAATCCAAATGTGGCAGAGAAGGAAGAGCAGAACTTTTCCTTTTGGGTAAAGTTCCGCTTTAACTATTGCTTTACTCCTGTAGAACCTCACTGACATTTTATTCCATGAAGTCATGTAGACACAAAATTATTTTCTTTTTAAACAAATTTACCACCAAACAATATATATTATATGCAAATTATTCAGCTAGGAGAGCTTTGAGAAAAGAACCAAGCACTTAGTAATTCATTTTTAGTCCACAGTTTTTTTGTTAACCTCCCTGGCGGTATTCCCGAGTGTAGCTCGGGGTAAAGATTCAGTACCACAAGCGGTAACCCCGAGCTACACTCGGGCTTACCATGCGGCGCTGCTCCGGGATCTGTTCTTCACTTACCTTGTCCTGCAATGTCCCTCCTGCAGTGTTCCCGGAAATGTCCTCCGGTGGATGCTTGCATTTGTCATCTGGGTTCTGTCCCCTGCGAGCGTCAGTACGTACGGGGACGGGGACGGCGGGAAATTTGAAAATGACAAAAAGTGACATTTACTGCCTGCATTTTTACTGTTCTTTCTGCCTGGAAACTGAGAAATGTCCATGGCGTCCAAAAAGCGTCCCTTTAGGTCAAAAGCAGTTTTAGACCAGCTAGAGAACAGCAATAGTAAATCAGAACTACTTGCAGAATTAAGTGATAATGATTCGTGGGGAAATTCGTCATCAAACACTAAAAACAATTTTGCGACTTTGCTCAGTGATGTGCAAACTTGGCGCTATATTTCAAATTTCAGTGTTTTTGGTTTGATTTACTATTGAATTCATTTATTATTAATATTATTATTTTTTATGATTATTTTAAATTATAATTTATGATTTCATGTTTCAAATTGTAACATACCCGGGATGTTTACTAGACTCTTGTTACAGATTTCAGTGAGTTATTCCTAAAAATTACAGGCCTAAATAAAAAAAAATACATATTTCCATGCAAAAAAATGTACTGCTTTGAGCACAGAAATATGGACATAATCAGACCACTAGGGAGGTTGATTCCTTTTGTTTAAGTGGTTTGTTTTTGTTGGTTTAATTAGATATTACTTATTATATCTCATTGATTTATGCCACAGTGTAGAAAATCTGAATTTGACATTGTTTTGAATCTGGATTGCAAAACTGCAGCAGATGTTGGCCAACAAATAGTTATCCATTTACGTTTCAAAGATGAACACTAGATAGTTGTTTTTAACAATTAGGAAGCTAATTGTGCAGTAAATCTTATTAACATTGCTGAATTAAAGATTGTTAGGGATAATGAGGTAATATTTTGATTGCATTAAAAAGCCTTCTTTTCGTAATAAAACCAAATTAATTATAAACATAAATAGCAATTGAAGCTCTAGTGTTTCATTTGAACAGGCATTTAATCTGCTCAGTTAGTATAAAATGACACTGTCATTGGAATATTGACAGTTTAAGGGTCGTACTGTTAGTCTGACAATGGTTTTTCTATGCAGGACTGGATCCAGCAGGGCCAAACTTTGAATATGCTGAGACTGCCGTGACTTTGTCGCCTGATGATGCAGATTTTGTGGATGTGGTGCATACATACAGTGTGGGTACCCCTGACCGTAGCATAGGCATCCAAAGGCCTGTTGGACATATTGACATTTACCCCAATGGTGGGAGCTTTCAGCCAGGATGCAATATTGGAGATACAATTCGACTAATGGCAGAAAAAGGTTTACGAGGCTTTATAGGTAAGAATATACACATATACAGTAAACATATATGTTTTAAATAATAATCATGTGCCACAAAGCTGCAGAAAACTAGGGCACTTTAATATGCAAATGCTTGTTTAGAATAGGATGGCTGCCTTGTCACCTCTTGCCTTCTGTACCCTGGGTTTCAGAGGTCCCAGGTAGATTGAGAAGTAGTTGTAAGCCACTGCAGAAACCTGAGTATGCCAGCTGTTAATTCCTGCTACAAATATGCAGTGTGTTAATTGGATGACAAAGTTTACTCTAAATTTACCAAAGCTGAAAAGAACAACATTTAGGGTTAAATGACATGACGAGCCTTAAATGTTCTTTTCAGCTCTGGTACATTAAGAGTAAACCTTGTTATCCAATGAACATTGTAAATAAAAGTATTGGCACACTCATCACTTAGACTTGTGTGATGAATACAGTATAGATAGCTACAGAAGGAGCAGATGATGAACCTACTCCTTTGCCGTTAACTATAAATGCTAAAGGCTTTTATTTGCCAGTTGTTTTATGAAATTAAATTTTTCAGAGAAGCAAAAAATTCTCTTTTTTCCTAAAGTAGGTTTATTATGGAAACTTAAATGTTTAGAGAAATGCTAAAGATAGTTAGTTGTAAAATATTTGATGAAGGTCTTGTTTAGGTTTTATACCATGCCTCTGGGACTTTTAGATATAACTTTGTGTGGAAGCCTTAGGAACCCACTGAATGCCAAATCCTCCTGCCTCCAGACACAAAACTCATAATATTTCAGTTTAAGATAGGTAGAAATATGTTAAAAAAACATGGTGGGATTGCAGCAGTTTTTACAAAAGTAACCAGTCCTGGGGGTCTAGAAGTTCCCATTACCTATTAGGAACCCTTTGGGGCTCCTGCACTTGGTTTTGGGTTCTAACAGTAAGTGAACTACTGAAATACCGTATTTCTGCACTATAAATGGTACTACAAGTGATGTTACCTACCAGTAGCCTACCTCGTCTAATCACCTCTTATGAACTTTAACCATGTAAATACATGTCAGATAAAATGTCTGTAATGATGCAGAACCAGGGGCGGACTGACAACTCATGGGGCCCCCGGGCAATAGGGGATCATGGGGCCCCTGTGTCCTCGTCCACACTCAAACCACACCCAAAAAAGCCTATGAAAGGTACCAGGGGCATCTAATGGGGCCCCCTACTGACCCTGGCCCTCGGGCAGTGCCCGAGTTTCAAAATGGTCAGTCTGCCCCTGTGCAGAACAACCATTTTCAAAAAAAGGTTCTAATTCTTAAGTGTGTAACCAATGTTCATTGACTTAATGAAGTCAATTCAGGGCATAATAAGGATTTTGTATTTGGTACTTGCAAATGTTACAAAATCAACTTGAAACCAGCATATGTTACTCTTCAATGAGTGCCAAGACCTACTAAGTAGCTCGCCAAGTGTCAGTTGACCTGACATTTGTTCCAATGCATCATATAGCCAAAGTACACACTCAATGAAATTATTCATTTAAAGCAGTATTAAACCCAAAAGCAAACATTTATTATATTGCAGCGTACTTCTTATATGTGATAGCTGCATTCGTTTTCTTTTTTAGGCTTTCTTTTATTTTCACCAGATGATCTGGCCAGTAATTTTGCTGTTTTTCAAAAGAACCAGCTGTCTTGTACATGTAGCAGTTAGTGGGATGAGACAAACCATTTATCACTGACAGGGGTGCTTACAATGATCAGCTTTTATTTATTCATGTAAAACTTTTATCCCAAAAGGAAGAAAACTGTTGCTGTAACTACCTATAAATTATTAGCTGGAGTTTGGCCTCAAAGTGTTAGTGTATTTAAATCTGTTAGTACACCCAAGACTAACCCCCCCCACCCTAGATTAAATGCTGCCTTCCAAAGGTGTCCTTGGGCCCCTTCATCCAGACAGGGGGCGCTCTAATACAGGAGGTGTGTTACTGGCCAGATCACTAGGTGAAAACAGTGAAAAAAAAGCCTAAAAAAGAAAACGAATGCAGACACCACATCCAATGACTGGTAAGCTGCACTATATTCCATTTTTGTTTAAATAATACTGCTGTAACCACTTGCCCTCCAGAGGATTTACCCCCTTCGTGACCAGGCCATTTTTTTGCGATACAGCGCTGCATTACTTTAACTGACAATTGCGCAGTCATACAACGCTACGCCCAAATGAAATTTATGTTCTTTTTTCCCCCACAAATAGAGCTTTCTTTCTGTGGTATTTGATTGCCTCTCCGTTTTTTTATTTTTTACGCTATAAACAAAAAAACCCGACAATTTTGAGAAAAAAAAAATATTTTTGACTTTTTGCTCTTAAACATATCCAGTAAAAAAAATTTAAAAAATCAAATTTCCTCATAAATTTAGGACAAAATGTATTCTGCTCTATGTCTTTGCTAAAAAAAAAAAACCCAATACATGTAAATTAATTGGTTTACGTGAAAGTTATAGCACCTACAAACACTGTACAAATGGTGGTATAGATACTGGAATTTGTTTTTTATACTGGTAATGGCGGCGATCAGAGACTTATACTGACAGTGTGGGGGGGGACTGGCTAACTGTCACTGACATTGTTTACATACAGATCTCTCCCCTGTTGGTGATATGTGGTGATCGCCGGGTGCCTGCGGGAAATCACCGACCGGGACCCGGTGATCAACAGGTGAGCCCGCCAATGGCGGCGGCTCACATGCCCCCCCTACCTGGAAGTGCAAAATCACGTGTATATATATATATATGTATTTTTGCTATAGGGCAGTGGGAAAGTGGCTAAACATCAGCAATCGTTCATTTTTGTATAAAAAACATGTTGGAGTAAACATGCTGCATTTTGTTATTAATGGCTTAGTGACATGTGACATTTAGTGTGCAAATATAACTTTTGTTTCCTTTAATTTCTACAGACATGGACCAGATTGTGAAGTGCTCCCATGAACGCTCCATCCACCTCTTCATTGACTCTCTTCTTCATGAAGAGAAGCCAAACATGGCCTATCGTTGCAATTCAAAGGAAGCCTTCGATAAAGGACTTTGTCTAAGCTGCAGAAAAAATCGCTGTAATACACTGGGCTACAAAGTCAATAAAGTACGAGGGAAAAGAAGTACCAAGATGTTCATGAAAACTAGTTCTCAGATGCCTTTTAAAGGTAAAGTGATACTTTTCATAACTTATGATCCAGCCTACCTACCTCAGGCTTGGTAAAGAAATGCATTTATAATCAGACATGCTTATTTTTTTTTAACTAGGCCCTTTAGATAACTCCATACAAAATCGTAATGCTAAGGGTGTTTAATTGAGTATGCCTTCACAGAGCTGTTTATCTTTAAAAATTATGATGGGCTAGGTTAATAGCGTGTAGCATGCTTATGTTTTATACATGTGCTTAAAACATTTTGAAAAAAATATGAATGCTATAACAATACCTGGCTACTAGAAAATGAAACAACTTCCATATACCTACTGTATACCTAATCTACCTTTGCATATTAAAGAAAACATTTCAGCATAGAACAACTGAGGCTACCACTGGAGCTATGAACCTTATCCTCATTTTTATTACTCAGTAGGGTGATTTACTAAATGAGTACATTTTTCACAATTTGTAGTTTAAACACCCAGTCACATGTAGAGGAATATAAATAAATTGTATTTACTTTGCACATAATTGAATGACTGATGTGTATTCAGCCTCGCCAAGCTAAGTATTTCTTTACTAAATCAATCACAGTGAACCAATGGCTGAGAACAAGTGTAAAAACAGTATGGCCTCTTGTGCATGGATGTAATAATTTACTGATATTTATACTCAGAATATTGTTGACAGAAAGATCCTGCATAAAAGTTCCATAAATGTGCTTGGCGCATACATACATATAAGTTATCTTCATCCTCTTCTATTTGCCAGTGTTGTAAAATACAGTACATGCACATACATCTGTATACATGTAAATTACTGTACTCCAATGTCAATTTTTTTTTTATTTATGGCTCTGTACTCATCCCTGTATTGTATTTAGTCTATCTACCCCAATGTATTTTACCTTTTAGCATTTTTTTTTTATTTTGGGGGTCTAGCTGGGATGTTAAAATGTTTTATTTTTTTTTGGGTGGGGGGGGGGGATTTAAAATCCAGAGTTGTTAGGAATTATATGGGGAAATGTAGAGTGACATGATTTTGAATTGTTTTTGTTCTTCTCTTACATGGTTGAAATGACAGTTTGAATTTCTGTTTGTATATTTAGTGTTCCACTATCAAGTGAAAGTCCATTTCTTTGCAAAGAAGAACTTAACTGTTACCAACCAACCTTTATTGGTATCTTTGTATGGCACTAAGGGGGAAAGCGAAAACAGGCCACTCCGACTGTAAGTATAGTATGCTATACGTGGTTTGTTGAGAGCTCTGTGTACAGATGTTATTTACAGTATATATTAGAACTGTTGATCTCTCAGTGACATAGTTTCAGTAGAAACTAGTGGACATCAGCTGGTATCCCATGAGGCATAATTAAACATACATTAATATGTGGGATAATGTTATTGCCATTCCTAGTTATTATTCCATTAGGTCTCTATGGGACAAATGGTAGTTAATACTCCATAACAATAAGATACTTCACGGGGAAAGGGGCGTGCGAACTAAAAGGTTTCCCATAGTCATATATTTATTAAGGTACACTATTCTTACTATTATATTTACATTATGTTACATATCTTAAAACGGTTTACTACAATACAGACCAAAACAAAAATTAGTAAATAATGAAATACATAAGGTCTTGATATTATTAAATAGTTAAAGAATAATATATGGATGGAGAAGTTATTAAATCAATGCATTTATGTTATTTTACATCAAATATTGGTAAAAGAAAACCCCTACAAACTCACATTTTTACTTATCGTAATAGAAAAGACTAATGTCTGCGAGGCCCCATGCACATGAGAGGCAAAATAGATGCATTCACATGCTTTTGCAGCTCCTTTCTAAATGCATCAGGAAGCATGTCATTTTTTGCTATAGCTGAATTCACACCTAGACATTCAGTCCAACTGCTTGTACACAAACAAGAATTTTGTGTGTCCGGGTTCCATTTAAGCTGGCCATGCACTAGCAGATTTTTTTAACAAATGTTTTTACAAATATTTGTATGAACATTTGTACAAAAATTCTCAGTACAATCAAACACTTGACAAAGGTCGTCCGAAAGCACTTCTATATTTTGTTTGCTTTCGACATTAAAATTTGTACATGTAGTTTCCCAAATGAAATTTCCCTATACACTGCTAGAAAGTCATTCATTCGAGAAATGCTATCCTTCCTGCTTCTTCTAATTTTCTCATCACTATGGTTGAAAGCAAAAGTCGATTTGATCCAATTATTCATTAGAAAATCAAATGAACATTCTTAAAATTAAAAAAAAAAAAAACTTACCAAATTCTACTTCTATACAGCCAGGTTTAGTCTGGTTTCTTGCAGCAAACACAAGTAGATTGAAATGTAGGAGAATTAGATCTGGAATACTTTCCATATCAATTTCTGCTGGATAAACTCCAGTAGCCCATGTACATGAGGCATTGAACTATTCTCACTTGTTCCCTTAAGCTTTTTTAATGATGTTTTAAAAAACTTTTTGATAGGTGCAAAAATACATGTTGATCATGCCAGAAAGTCAGAGCTGTGCTATGCACACTTCCTGTGGTATCTCAAGGGGTTTAAATAGCCCTTCTAGTTCTTATCTTGATCTACAGAATAATTGGTGTCTATGTTTTAGATCACTGGATCTGGCCCCAAACTGCAGCCCTGGGGCCGGATGCAGCCCTTTGCTTGTGTTTATTCGGCCCTTGAGAAATTATTCCTGCCACTGACACCAATATGGCATAATTCATGCCACTGACAACAAAAATGGGGCTCTATTCCTCCTATTCACACCAACTGAAGGAAAAGACTAATGTCTGTCAGGCCCCATGCACATGAGAGGCAAAAAAAAAATGCATTCACATGCTTTTGCAGCTCATTTCTAAATGAATCCGGAAGCATGTAATTTTTTGCTATAGCTGAATTCACATGTAGACTTTCAGTCCAACTGCTTGTTCACAAACAAGAATTTTGTGTGTCTGGGTTCCATTTAAGCTGGCCATGCACTAGCAGATTTTTTAATAATGTTTTTTTCAAATATTTGTATGAACATTTGTATGAAAATTCTCATTACAATCAAACACTTGAGATAGGTTGTTTGAAAGCTTTTCTATATTTTGTTTGCTTTTAACAAGTGGTCTCCAAACTGCAGCCATGGGGCATGATGCAGCCCTTTGCTTGCGTTTATCCAGCCCTTGAGAAATTATTCCTGCCACTGACACCAACAAAAGGGCATAATTCATGCCACTAACACCAACAATAGGACATAATTCCTTCCACTAACAACAAAAATGGGGCTCTATTCCTCCCATTCACACCAACTATTTCTACCCCTAATACCAAAGATCAGCCATGGTTTACTCCCACTGGGCACAGTCCTGCCCCCCTAAAGTCTAAAGGGCAGTAAACTGGCCCTTTCTTTAGAAAGTCTGGAGACCCGTGTTTTAGGTATAAGGAGAGTAAGAAATTAGCTGAGCTGAGTTAATTTTTGGCAGATCAACAGGTATTTTTATTTACTGACATAGCCTTTAAAGGGATAAAACATGGGAAATGTCCATGTAGTGCAGAGATTTATTGTATATGTTTTTTTTTGCCTTGACATATGCTTTAAGCCAGATTTAAAGGTTTGGGTGAACTTAACATTTAAAATAATTATATATTCATATTGTAATGTACAGTGCTGAGCGAACTGTTGGCGCTTTATAAATACTGTATAATAATAATAAATAATATATCATATTTTTCATTAACGCACAGATTGTATGCTTGTCTGTTTAAGCAAACGTAATATACATATTTTAATTTCAAATGTGTCTCATGATGAACTAAAATTATAGACATAATGCAGTCTGCTTAATAAACTGGCCATAGGTATCTTGGCCTTATTAGTAGAGATCATTGGAAAGTGATTTCCTTGATTACATATATTTTTTATGACTTATCACAGGATTTCAGCATTTTTGATTATAACCTCCGTACACATTCTATAAAAGAAAGAAACCTTTGCTCCCTGGGGAAATAAGCAGGCTGTTTTAAGGCATAGGTTAACTAGGCAATCACTTAGAGTATCTTCAAATAAAAAGGGTGCCCTGGTAAAGTGCAATCTTAAATTTAGGAGGCAGGCCTTATTGCATTTGTGAAATGTGCTTACTCAGTGTGTTACTTTGATTTAAATGCATGTTTTGTCTCATTGCCTTTTGTGCCAGTCCATAGACCTTGACTTTCCTTTATAATGCCCACAGCTGCCTTACAATACAGACATTCACCAAAATATGACATAAATCATGTATATCTACATGTAGTGAGTAAAGGCCTGTAGTGCAGAATAGGCAAGAACACTGTAAAGGAACGACTGTTGCATGGGCAAAGGACAAAAGGCAAATTAAAAGGTCTCAAATTAAACTAACCCAGAGTCTCTGTTTGTTTAACAAGAAATTCTCATAATATTGCAGGGCCCCTAAATGTAGCCCATATTTTTGGCACAGGAAAATTGATCACACCATTAGAGAGATAAGTATGCAATTAGAAGTAAAAAAAGAAGTAAAAAAAATAATGATTCACACTCACCTATGTAGATGCAGCATGGATCTAATTCTGCATTTGTCCCTGCTGCCTCCACACCCAGAACTTGCAGGATTAAAAAAAAATAATGATTCACACTCACCTATGTAGATGCAGCATTGATCTAATTCTGAATTTGTTCCTGCTGCCTCCACACCAAGAACTTGCAGGATTAAAAATAAATAATCATTCACACTCACTTATGTAGATGCAGCATTGATCTAATTCTGAATTTGTTCCTGCTGCCTCCACACCAAGAACTTAGCGATCAGTTTTCGGATCTGCTCTCGGCAGAGAGTGGTGGCTGTCAGTTTCTGCTCTGCCCCTGTGAAGATGTTCAGCCTAGTATATCAAAATGGTCAGAAACAATCCTGCAAATAGATTTATTTGCATTTTGTTAATTTTTTTACCGTATTTATCTTGTCTCTGTTAGGGCTGAAATGTCTACAAACAAAACCTATTCATATCTAATCTACACTGAACTGGATGTAGGAGAGCTGCTGATGCTGAAAGTAAAATGGGAGAAGGAATCATTCTTCAGCTTGTCGGACTGGTTTACAACATATGCATTCAATATTCAAAAGATCAGGATAAAGTCTGGAGAGTTACAGAAAAAGTAAGTGGCTTTATAAAAGTACATGCTCAGGAAATAAATTAGTAAACATTTATTTTGGGTTTTGTCATTGCTTATATAATATTGCTACCATTTTGTATTGTATATCAGAAGAACAATACAGTTTGACACAGTGATTATATACATCATACACTACTTTTGGTAGGGTTTAGAGCGATTTCAGGCCATAAAAATGAATGGGCTGAAATTGCACTGCGTTCCTGATCGCATGTGAATTGCAAAGGAGCGCACAGTGCTTTCCTATGTGATTCATGGTGTGAACTGGCCCTGATGCAGCTTGTGGAACTTCACTCAAAATGCTTTTCATGAACTTCAGTCCAGCCAGTGAAATACACTTCAGGGCTTTTCACCCATGTTATTTAAAAGCAAAGTTCAAAAACTCACACAGAACCTACCCTAGAGTTGGTTTACAGCATTATAATGATGAATAGAAATGTTCCATCCTCCTGGACAGCATAGTATGTGGTGAGTCTGTGTCTATGCAGACTCACCACATACAGGGGCTTATTACTAAACCTGGAGAGTCCAAAATAAGGCTTACTTCTGCATAGAAACCAATTAGCTTCTAACCTCAACTTGTTTAAGTTTTGGCAGTAAAACCTGGAAACTGATTGGTTTCTATGCAGAAGTGAACCTGATTTTGCACTCTCCAGCTTTAGTAAATAAACCCCTAACTCATTCAGTCTTGTTACAAGCCAACTGCCAACTTAGGCTGCACAGGTGCCTGCCTAATTACACACAATCTCATAAATGACAGCCTTGTCCAGGGGTGGACTGACAACTCATGGGGCCCCCAGGCAATAGGGGATAATGGGGCCCCTGTGTCCTTGCCCAAACTCAAAAAAACCTATGAAAAAGGTACCAGGGGCATCTCATGGGCCCCCTACTGACCCCGGGCCCTCGGGCAGTGCCCAAGTTTCCAAATGGTCAGTCCACCCCTGGCCTTGTCCAATCATATTGCCTCTCCATGATGATTTTATCAGGGTCTGCTCACACACACTGCTCCTGTAGCAGCCTGTCTCCAAGAAAAGAGTCCTAAACCATTGACAGCCCCTTGACTATAAGGGCTGTGCACACTGCACAATCAACATGCTGGTTTCTAGTAAAATATGGACACAAGGTTAGAGGCTTCATCCCTCCCAGGTCTCTACAAAGTCTCTGAACTCCAAAACCCAATTCAGAAGTTAACAGTCCTGGAGAAAACTGCAAGACCTCTTTTCTCCATACTGTCATAAATCTTAAAATTGAACTCGAGTCAAACAGCTAAGTACACAGATTAAACACATATATAAGAGCTGTTTAATCTGCCAAATGATTTGTATTTCTGTTCATCCAATCCTGAGATTGAAACTTTTTGCCAGGCAGCATAGCCAGGTTGGGGACAATTGTTTTCTGCTGCAGTTAATTAATACAGATTGGACCCCTTTACTCTGCCAGCCTGCATTGAATTGTGTTTTTATTCCTGAATGGATCCAGAATTAAATAAAGATGCATTTAGACATCTCAGATGCAGAGGAAAGGCAGTCTTACTGCTGTGGCCTTTATAGTTTAGGGATGAGGTCAGTAAACCAAGACAGAGAGATCACCATAGCTTTGAATCTAAAATGTGTAAATACATTTTACGTTTTGATGAGAAGATCAAGGTACTGCATGTACCATTTTGCCCATTTTTACATGAGAATTTTGTTGTAGTCCTCCCTGTATTGCCTTTTGATATGCCCAATTAGAGCTACACATCTTTTATTTTACAAACCACAAGTTATTCTTCATATGACCATTTGCACAAAACAGGAAATGTAAGGTCTGGGAGCTAAATGATGGTGTCCAATGCCAAACAAAATGTTTTTTTTTTTCCTGGTATTTGGAAACTGGCAATTATTTTATCAGTTATGCTTGCTTAGCAGTTAATCTGACTGTGTTTTTTTGTGTTTTAGGCTAATTTTTTGTCCTGAGAATGGGAAGCATGCCACTCTTACAAGAGGAAAAGGAGCAGTGGTATTTGTGAGGTGCAATGAAAACTCCGTTGTGAAGAAACATAAATGGTAGGTACAAAACTTTATTTTGAGATATATCATTATTTTCAGAAATGGTATTATTTTAGAAAGATTACAGTGTTGATGTGCGAGGGTTTAATAAAAATGACTACATTTACTGGGCATAAAACTAGCTCTCTAGGCTAAAATAAAATCTTTCCCTCGCCAGCTCTTTGTGAGCAAATAATATCATCTAGCTATTTTTCACCTTTGGTCAGTAGACCGGTGTGATTTATGAGATATAATGGCATCAAATGTCATCATTATTTTTCAAATTTCCAATAATAAAACTAGTTCATTTCCTTCAGGGGGCACTGCAGGTAAAATCTGAAATTGTACCCCATGATTTAGTAAAACAAGTATAGAATAGGCTGTCGATGGCTCTGCATAAAGGGTTTTGCAGAAGGGATGACAATTTATTTCACTCTGAAGAAAATACATCCAAGTAATTTATTCTTAATGACTTGACTTGCAGAACAAAAGCACGCTTATATTATTATAATTTCTTTACAGATGTAAGCAAGACTTCTGCATTTTGAAGCACATGCTACTTGATGGTATTGAAGCTCTGAAGAACAAGAACATCTTTGATTTCTACTCAGTCCAGTTTACCTTCAAAGTCTGGTGACATTTCATAATAGACACAAGTAAACCGATGAGAAACAAAAGACCAACCTCTTTATAGCACATATGTAAAATATCAATTACGTTATGCTGTACAAGCCACTTCCATTCCAAGGAGAGCAAATTGTATGTGAATTGTGTTAATGTATTTTTAAGTAGATATTAGACAATCAAAATGTATTACTGAATAGTATGTGTTCATTCCATGCTGTTTATGCACTGGAGTTTAAATAACAAGCCAAGCTTGAAATACAGTTTATGCGCTATAGGAGTTACTAATAATATTTACAAATTAGAATGCTGTATCAGCTTAACATTTTGTCATTTGCAGATGTTATACGGCAAATAATAAGCTGTTAATCCTAACAGAAAGTGATTGGTTATGAGAAAGATTGCAGTTTTCATTCTCTGCGCCCTTTTTTACAAAGCTTAACTCAGGCAAAAAAAAGATTTATACTTGCTGTGAGTCCTCCTCCTCATTGCAAGGCTTAACTGCTCTTTGTGTCTAGAGAATGATGAATTGGGTAATATAATTACCCTCTTTATTCCTATATCCTTCCTTCTCTTCATATGATCAATACCTCGGTCACAGTTCTATGGTGTCATCCCATACAATGCAGGACCAGCAGTTCTGCAATGTATTGGAGTACGCTAAGAGCCCAACCACATTGCAGAGCACTGAGCAGTGGAGGAGAGCACCGACTGTTGAGGGAGTGATGAATAAAATAAGTATTTCACCTTATTTATCATTCTCTAGTCAAAAAGAGCACTTAGCCCTTGCAGTATGGAGGAGAAACCATTACAAGGGTAATTATTTTTGTGTGTGCTAGCTGCTCCCCAGATATCACCAGCGCTCACCTATATATAAGATTCTAATTATTTATTTACCCTGAAGCTCAGCTTTAAAAAAACACCAGTTAACAAAAAATGTTATTTGTTTTGGATTGAGATTGGAAGGGAACCTCTGTGTGTTGTTTATGGCCGTCTATAAAATTTTTGTTTCACTTACTTTTCTGTCTGACACCCATCTGCTGTAAGTGAAGGAAAATTTCCCCAGTAAAAAGAAAACAAAAATGAGTGAGGTTTTAACTCTTTACAACCCTACATTTTTTTTTTATAAATTGCCTTCTGGGTCCCTTCTTCCACCATACTTCCTGTTCCGACGCCCTTAAAATGTAAGATGTGAAAGAAAATCACACTATTTGGGACAAAATTAGCGCTAAAATTCTGACAGAGGTTCTCAATCATCCCATCTCTATGCAAGACAAAATAAAAAGAGGGTTTTGAAAAAGGAACTTTCTTGGAAGGTTATAAATATCTCCTTTTATGAATCAATTGTAATTTAAGTTTAGGGAACTTAAAAATGACTTGAAACCACATTGGTATTTAATGAGATCCGTTGAATGCCCCTGGATGTTCTTTGCTAGCAACCGCTAAATATGGGGCAGATCCACAACAAATAGTACCTCCATTTAAAATAAAAAAAAGTGTTGTGCTAGATATGTTTGATTATGTACCAAGTTTTTAAATAGATTTGCATATCAATCACAAAAGATGATGCTTTATTTTATCTTCATGTGACACGTGTAAAAAGCAGTAGTATGCATTAAATTACAAAAGCCAATCACAGGTCAACTTTTATTAAGCTGCACTACTCAAAGTTCAATTCTGATTGGTAGCAATGATCTAAAGTGCATTACTTGCTTTTACAGTTACTAAATAAGGCTGAAATACTGTGCATTAAGCATTTTCCAAATCATGTATGTTACTATACTTATTATATTCTACATTCATTTATAAAACCTATACAAGGTTTAAATTTTGTTTTACGTTGGCAGTAACCTATATTGTTACATATTTATCGCAAAAACATTTAAGTGAATTTGAGAACTTGCTTTAAAATATAGTATATAATATATTATAAGTATATAATATAATAAAGTAAAGTATATAACAACAATATAAAAAGGCAAAAAAGCATTATTGCATGTGTATTTTATTGGCTAGAGAGAAATAGCCCTGAATAAATATGTATAAAATTGCTCAGCACACCAGTTATTAAAATCACAAAATCAAAATATATATTGACAGTTTTAGATGTTGTTACTTTTTGATCTTGATCAAAAAAATAAACTGTCTTTTGTTTTTAAATGATTGTTAAAAGAGAGTATCAAGGATCTGGAACATTTTTTAAATTTATATTGTTTTATGTACATGTTTTAAAAGACTGCCAACATGTTTTTTTTAGATAAAAAAGGGACTCATAATGACTCACACAAATGTATGAATATCATCCCTTAGTAGTTGCTTAAATGCTTTAATTTGTTTGAAAAGAGAGCATGTTGTTGAATGTATTTTTCAGTGTCCAGGTACAGGCAGTCCCTGAGTTACAAACATTCGACTTACTTGTGACGCATACGTAAGAACAGACGCAGCGTGATGTCGCACTGGTCCCAGAAACTGTCGGGTGGCCATCTTGCTGCTCACCGCATGCTGCCACCTACTATCTGGTGGACATATCATCAATCTCCCATAACTGCATGGTCAGTTAACCCTTCCCTATACTATCCTAAACTTAAAAATACTTTTTTGGCTGGAGTTACACTTAAAAAATTTACCTATTCCAATTTACATACAAATTCACCTTAAAGAGCCATGCCATAGAGGAAATCATGTATGAACTTTTTCAGAAATAATTCCACTGAAATAACGTCCGAAAAAAATTATTTTAATTTTAATTAAGTCAGTTTTTAATAGTTAGCAACATGATTTACTCTTTTTTTTTTTTACCTAGACTCAATTCACAAGTACATGTTCATTAATGTTAACCCTACTTTTTTTATGTGCATTTCATTAGGGCAGTTTAATAATTTTAAATGGACCCCTGAATGAAAAAAATATACCTGCACTATTTTTGGCCAATACAGCACAGCACAGCACAGCACAGTACATGGTACATAGTAAATGTGTCATTTACATTGTAGCTGTACATTGCAGGCACTGCTAATGTTATAGCTATTATAGTCTTTACCGCCTCCCGCCCGCCAAATAAGGTAATGACGGGTGCAAGGCAGTTCTCTCGTTCTGGGAGGACATCAAATGACGTGCTCCCATTCTTACCGCGCATGTGCGGCTCCGGGAGCGCGCAGCGTGGCGAACGGCAGTGCGCTGTGTCCCTCGGACACAGTGGATCACTGATCAACGGAAAGAGCCAAAGATGTCGGCTCGGTCATGTGATCAGCTGTGGCCAATCACAGCTGATCACATGTAAATAGGGAAATGCCGGTTATCGGCATTTCTCTCCTCACGAGCTGTCATGCTGACAGTTCGAGAGGAGAAGAGAGCCAGTAATCGGCTTTACTCAGAGGGGACATGTACACTGATCATCAGGGCACTGATGATCAGTGTGCCCTGATGATCAGTGTAGCCCCAGCAGTGCCACCTGTTAATGTCCACCAGTGCCAGCCAGGGGCTGACTGACAACTCATGGGGCCCCCGGGCAATAGGGGATCATGGGGCCCCTGTGTCCTTGCCCAAACTCAAAAAAGCCTATGAAAAAGGTACCAGGGGTATCTCATGGGGCCCCCTACTGACCCCGGGCCCTCGGGCAGTGCCCGAGTTTTCAAATGGTCAGTCCGCCCCTGGTGCCAGCTATCAGTGCTCATCCATGCCACCTCTCAGTGCCACATCAATGCCACATATCAGTGCCTACCAGTGCACATCAATGCCACATCTCACTGCCCATCTGAGCTGCATTTCAGTGTTACCTATCAGTGCCAGTCAGTGCCACCTATCAATGCCAGCCAGTGCCATCTATCAGTGCTGCCAATCAGTGCCAGTCAGTGCCGTCTATCAGTTCCAGTCAGTGCCACCTATCAGTACGCATCAGTGCCTCCTATCAGTGTCCATCAGCGCTGCCTATCAGTGCCACCTAGCAGTGCCAGTCAGTGCCACCTAACAGTGCCAGTCAGTCCCGCCTATCAGTGCCAGTCAGTGCTGCCTATCAGTGCCACCTTTCAGTACCACCTATCAGTGCCATGTATGAGTGCTTCCTTTCAGTGCCCATCAGTGATGCCTGTCAGTGCCCATCAGTGCCACCTACCAGTGCCTCCTTATCAGTGTCCATCAGTGCTACCTATCAGTGTCCATCAGTGCAGCCTATCAGTGCCCATCACTGCAGCCTCATTAGCGCACATCAATGAAGGAAAAAAAATCACTTATTTACAAAATTTTGTAACAAAAACTAAGAAAAATTTTTTTTTTTCAAAATTTCCAGTGGTTTTTGGTTTGTTTAGCAAAAAATAAAAAAACACAGAGGTGATTAAATACCACCAAAAGAAAGCTCTGTCTCAAAAAAAAGATTAAAAATTTCATATGGGTACAGTGTTG